ATTGAGAACCAAACCAGGGAGCCCACAGCCTTGAGATTTCTTTGTGCTGTCTTGAGTTATTGACATATGGCTGTCTTGGGGTCTGGTCTGTCCATCTAACCACCAAAGGAAGATACTCCCTAACATTTTGGAGTTAGGGAGCCAGGTTTATTTTATTTTTATTTTTTATTTTTTCTGTTTTTGCTGCATTATCTCAGTTTCCTTGGGATGGGTAGGAGCCTGACTCTGGGGCCTCTCAGTGTCCTTGGGATTTATGGGAGCCTGACTCTGGGCCTTTCTCTTATCTTGCCCTGCCTAGCCCCATCTATTCCTAACTCCATCTTACTTCATTCTTACACAATAGGTAGCATCTTATTGATTTTTTAAATTTAAAATATATATGATAGGGCAGCCCCGGTGGCGCAGCGGTTTAGTGCCGCCTGCAGCCCAGGGCGTGATCCTGGAGACCCTGGATCGAGTCCCACATCAGGCTCTCTGCATGGAGCCTGCTTCTCCCTCTGCCTGTGTCTCTGCCTCTCTCTCTCTCTCTCTCTGTCTCTATGAATAAATAAATAAAATATTAAAAAAAATAAAATAAAATATACATTATAGGGGTGCCTGGATGGCTCAGTCAGAGAAGCATCTGCCTTTGGCTCAGGTCATGGTCCCAGGGTCCCAGGATGAAGCCCTGCATCAGGCTCCAGCTCAATGGGGAGTCTGCTTCTCCCTCTCCCTCTACCCCCTACTTGTCCTCTCTCTCTTGCTCACTCTCTCTCAAATAAGATTTTATTTACTTAAGTAAATATTTGAGAGAGAGTGAGCAAGAGAGAGAGGACAAGTAGGGGGTAGAGGGAGAGGGAGAAGCAGACTCCCCATTGAGCTGGAGCCTGATGCAGGGCTTCATCCTGGGACCCTGGGACCATGACCTGAGCCAAAGGCAGATATATAAAATATAAAATAAAATATACATTATAATAGTACAAATATTGAACATCATTGTATGCTAGTCACTACTCTAACCTTTTATATATATATATATATATTAGGTCATTTAATCTTTCTATCATTCCTATTATCATCCTCATTTTACCGTGGAGATTTTTCCATATAAAGAGCTTCTGTGGTTTCTTAAAGCTGCATAAGATTCCACTGTAAGGCTGTATCCTAATTTATAAAACATATTGCCTAGCATTGTTTCTATTTTTTTGCTCTTACATACTGCGTGACATTGTACAGATGTTGTTTCAAAGACGTAGAGATAGAGCTATAGAACAGATACCTGTAAGAGAGATTGCTGGGCCAGAGGATAAAAACATTGTGATTTTGATGGCTGGTGCCAAGCTGCCCTCTGCAGAGTTACTAGTTCTCTTCATAATTGCTCAGCATTTCTCGTTACTCGTATCATTGGTTGAGTAGGAATATTTCAGTCAATTACAATAATCACAGTCTTTGTTGAGAACATTTATGTAGGACTTCTCTCATTTGATCCTCTACTCCACTCCCATGTGAGTTGGGGATTATCCCTGTTTTACAGATAAGAACACTGAGGTGTGCAAGGAGGTTAGGTATTTGCCCAGGGTGCTGGGCCGAGGTCAGATCTGCATTTGTCCAGCTCTTTTCTCTGCTTCAGCTGCCACTGACATCAGTCACTGGCCCTGCCTCTTACTGCTGGGTCTCTGTCACATCATATTTCCTGAGGCTGGAAGGAGCTGAAGGCCCTTGACCCAGTGGCAGCCCCCATGATTCCCTCATACTCTGGGCTCTCCAGGAAACCTCTGCTGGCCTGGAATAAGTCTCCTGTGTTTGATCAAGAGGTTCAAGCTCTAAGGCCTTCCCTTCTCGGGGGATGTGGGGAGGTTGAGAGCTGGTGAAGCTGGGGCCCTGTGCCTGGTGCCACAATTTTGAAGTCAGGTTGGCCAGCAGGGTCTCTGCTGGCAGTTCCAGGACAAATTGATCTCAGTAACAGAGGCCAAAGTGGCTCCAGCTAAGATCCTTTCTCCTGGCCTCAGGTGGGCTATCGTTGCTAGTGAGAACAAATTACAGCAATATTTCTGGGGAAATGACTAACAATATTTTCCTGGGAGTGTTGAAGAGGCAGCAGTGGAGTGTTTGAGACCATGGACTTGAGCCAGACTGCCTGGGGTTTTATGGTAGTTTCCTATGGCTACTGTAACAAATTACTGCAAATTTAGGAGCTTAAAACATTACAAATTGATTTTCTTTTCTACACCTTTATGTATTTACTTGTAAGTTTAAATTCTTGAGGGGTACAGCATCACATGAATTCTATGGCCAATGGCTTTAGCAGGAAGGTTGCTTGGGAATTTGGCATGAACCATGCCACTGCTTCATGAATTGCTTTTCCCCAGACTAGTCTGGTTTGGTTTGGTTTGCCACTGGGAGTCACTCTGTTGTTCTTTGCTTTGTTCACGTAAGCATATCTCTTGCCTGGATGGAATTCAGTTTCATCTCACGCATAAACACCTTCAATTTTAAGAAGATCTGTGTGCTCCCTCTGGTTCTGGAAACCCCACGTATAGCCAGCAAACACGGCCTTGGACCACAGCTCTGTGGACATACTTGTCATTCTAAGAGTCCTGTTCCCAGCAAGCCTCCACAGGCCCTGGGAAGCCTGGGTAGCTCAGCAGTTGAGCATTTGCCTTTGGCTCAGGGCATGGTCCTGGTGCTGGGATCGAGTCCCACATCAGGCTCCCTGCGAGGAGCCTGCTTCTCCCTCTGCCTATGTCTCTGCCTCTCTCTGTGTATCTCTCATGAATAAATAAATAAGATCTTTTAAAAAAAGAAAAAAAAAAGCCTCCACAGGCCCCAAGATGGTAGGAAGAGAAAGGTATAGCGAAATATCACAAAGTTGTTATTATTATGTACCTCTGGAGGTCAGAAGCCTGAAATGGGTTTCACTGAGATAAAATCAAGGTGTCAGTAGGGCCGTGTTCCTTCTGGAGGCTCTTGGGGAGAATCTGTCTTCTTGCCTTTTCCAACTTCTAGGGGCTGCCTGCATTCCTTGGTTCATGACCCCGGTCCATCTTCAAAGCCAGCAGGATAGCATCATGAGACCTCTGCTTCCATGATCAAATCTTCTTCCTCACACCTGCCTGCTTCCCCCTCTATTTTCCTTATAAGGATCCTCGTGATTATACTGGGTCCACCCAGATAATCCAAGATAATCTTCCCATCCCGGATCCTTAACTTAATCACATGTACTAAGTCCTTGCCATCATATAAGGTAACATACACAGGTTCTGGGGATTATTAGTACATTTTCTGCCTACTACAGTTTGTCTCTGGAGTCTATCACTCACTAATTGTGTCACCTTGGACAAGTCATTGTACCTCTTGTTCAGGTTCCCCATCATTAAAATGAAGATATAAGGGCAGCCCAGGTGGTTCAACGGTTTAGCGCTGCCTTCAGCCCAGGGTGTGATCCTGGAGACCCAGGATCGAGTCCCGTGTCGGGCTCCCTGCATGGAGCCTGCTTCTCCCTCTGCCTGTGTCTCTGCCTCTCTGTGTGTCTCTCATGAGTAAATAAATAAAATCTTTTAAAAAAAATGAAGATATAATAATTCCTACTCTGTAGGACTGTTAGGAGGATTAAAAGGGTTGATATTCCTCAAATGTTTATAATAATGCCATAGAAGTGTCTGCTAGCTAAAATATATTAAATAACTAAAAGCATGCATACGGTTTGATTTAGCACTCCTATTATTTGTAACCTATTTCATAGAACAGAAGACGTGTTAGGCCACATAAAGTCAGCCTAACATTGTCCATATTGGCAAAAAGGGGTGGGGGGAGTACAAATAGGAAATCACTGGATTGTCCATAACGGGAGACTGACTGGATCAGTTGTGGTACACATGGAATTTAAGGGAGCTTTATTTTATTTTACTTTTTAAGGATTTTATTTATTTCTTCATGATAGACCATGAGAGAGAGAGAGTCAGAGACACAGGCAGAGGGGGAAGCAGGCCCCATGCCGGGAGCCTGATGCGGGACTCGATCCCAGGACTCCAGGATCAAGCCCTGGGCCAAAGGCAGGTGCTGAACCACTGAGCCACCCAGGGATCCCCTTTAAGGGAGCTTTTAAAGAGAATACGTTAGACCCATACTTATCAGACCTCCAGGAATGTTGTCCTAAGCAAAAGTTAAATTAGAGGAGGAAGTTACAGAGTCATGACTCATGATCTCATTTGTAGCATGATCTTTCTTGTAAACCAAGTATCAACCTACTAGAATTGTTGTAGATACTTGGGGCAATTATTTAACCTCTGAGGGCCTCTGTTTCTTCACCTGTGAAATGAGGGTAACTTAGGTAGCTCTCCTCGCCTCTGAAACTCTAGTGAGGATTACACGGGATGCGTCGCATCAGCTCCTTAAGATCCTGCGAGCAGCTGCATAGCCTGGCTATCTGTGCAAAGTGGTTGAAAGCAGACAGAGGGCTGGAAGGAGGCACCTGGACGTTCATCTGGTTGCCTAGCAGGAAGGGAAAGGAAGTTCAGAAGCGTGTGAAGAGCTGATCCCCTGTGTGTGTGGAGGCTAGCTGGAGGCTGGGTGGAGGCTAGCTGGGGGCTGGGTGGAGGCTAGCTGGAGGCTGGGTGGAGGCTAGGTGGGGGCTGGGTGGAGGCTAGCTGGGGGCTGGGTGGAGGCTAGCTGGAGGCTGGGTGGAGGCTAGGTGGGGGCTGGGTGGAGGCTAGCTGGAGGCTAGGTGGGGGCTGGGTGGAGGCTAGGGGGAGGCTAGCAGGAGGCTGGGTGGAGGCTAGCTGGAGGCTAGCGGGAGGCTAGGGGGAGGCTGGGGGGAGGCTAGCGGTTGGAACCTCAGTACCTTTACATGTGCTAATGCTTTATTGGTGGTTTGGACACCGTCGCACTGGCCACAGACGGAACCGGGGAACATGCCACGATTCGAGGTTTTATCACCCTCGAAGGGGAGTCTCCCTTGGGGAGCTGGGGGCGGGGGGGGGGGCAGGAGAGCCCTCAACCGCGCCGGCCTCGTGTGTCCGCAGCATCTACTGCCGAGGCTGCTCCAAGCCGCTGTGCTGCTCGTGCGCGCTCCTGGACAGCAGCCACGGCGAGCTCAAGTGCGACATCAGCGCGGAGATCCAGCAGCGCCAGGAGGAGCTGGACACCATGGCCCGGGTGCTGCGGGACCAGGACGGCGCCTTCGGGGCGGCGCACGCGCAGATGCACTCGGCCGTCAGCCAGCTGGGCCGCGCGCGCGCGCCGACACCGAGGCGCTGATCCACGCGCAGGTGCGCCAGCTGGTGGAGCACGTGCTGGCGCGGGAGCAGGAGCTGCTGGCGGGGGTGACGGCGCGGTACCAGCGCTGCTACGAGGAGCTGGCGGGCCGCATGGGCCGCCTGGAGGCCGTGCTGCAGCGCATCCGCACGGGGAGCGCGCTGGTGCACAGGATGAAGCTCTACGCCTCGGACCAGGAGGTGCTGGACATGCACGGCTTCCTGCGCGACGCGCTCGGCCGCCTGCGCCAGGAGGAGCCCCGCGACCTGCACACGGCCGTGCGCACCGACGGCTTCGAGGAATTCAAAGTGCGCCTGCAGGAGCTTGTCTCCTGCATCACGGGGGGCAGAGGTGAGCGCCCGCCTCTTTGCATCCTTTTGCATTGCTGTTGCTCCCTGGGTGGGGGGAGGGGGGAAGGGGCCATTTGCATGTGGCAGAAGCGGAAACTGTGGCTTTTGACACATGAAGTCTCTGGTTTGCTCGCATGGTAGATTCTAGAGCACAGGGTAAGGAGGAGGGGAGGCCCTGGGGTGGGTCTGCGGCCTCCCAAGGGGGGTCACGTTTTACCAATTTGTAAGACCTTTTGGATGAGCTGTGATGTGGCGATCCTCAGGGAAGTTAAAACACAAAGCTGAGAACCAGATGCAGTATCAGTTCAGCCCTGGAGAGAGAACCACTCCAGGAAGTTCCTCTTAAGCCCAGTATCTAGCAACAGAGCAGTCAGCAGTGAAGTTAGAGCAGAAGGGAGCAGAGAAAACCTGCTCCCTTGGATGGATTTTTTAAAAAAATATTTTATTTTAAAAATATATTTTTTTATTTATTTATTCATGAGGTGAGACACAGAGAGAGAGAGAGGCAGAGACACAGGCAGAGGGGGAAGCAGGCTCCATGCAGGGAGCCCGACGTGGGACTCGATCCTGGGTCTCTAGGATCACACCCTGGGCCAAAGCCAGTGCTAAATCGCTGAGCCACCCGGGCTGTCCCCTTGGATGGATTTTTACCCCCCAAAATTTGGATGGTTGGTTGGTTGTTGAGTGGTTGGATGTTTACCCAAAACCATGCTGTGGCTCAGTGGAGGAGATGCTTTGCCTCCTCCATGGCCTGTCATCTGGACCAACTGCCCACCTTCGTGGGCCCTGCCTGGTATTGGGCACTTGGGAAGTAGACAGCAGGCCGGTTCCTGAGCTCAAGAGTTGTCCAGTCCAACCAGGACACAGATGGGACACATTATATAGCTGGAGATGAGGTAGTGCTTGGCTCTGCAGTCCAAATCCAGGAATTGTGGTGACTCTGTATGAGCTGGTGATGTCAGGGAGGGGGTGGGGGGCTTTCAGAAGACACTGGGGGAAGAGATGCCCAACAGGGCCCCCAGAGCGAGGAACCTTTAAAAGCCCTTAGACAAAAATCTCTAGGCTGAAATCTGAGCTCTAGATAGATAACTGGTGTGAGGACGCCCTTACTGGGAGAGGGGTGGGTGGCAACAGAATCTGAAGGCATCTGAGCAAGCGCCAGCCATGGGGGCTCCCTCAGCTCCCTCTCTCCTGCCCTTGGGGCTGGTGGACGTGGGCCCATAAAAGCATAATCCTAGAGTGGTCATGGACTCGTGCCTCCTCCATGAGGCAGCGAATGTTACTCCATATACAGGAAATGACCCCCACAGAGTTTAAGCATCTTGTCTTTGGTATCGTAACTGGGCAGTGGCAGGGAAAGGAGCTGTGGGTCATAAGAGTACCGTGACGCTCTCACTGTATGCAGAGAAGTGAGCAGCAATAACAGCCTTAGGATTGTTCACACTTTGCCTTGGTGGCGGCCAAGAAATGGACAGGTGCGCCTGGGGCTTGTTCTCTTCTGCTTCCCCCCTCCCTTTTGGGTTCATGCTCACTGCAGTTAGGGAGCTCTCCTTCCACATGGCAGCCCCTCCACGGAGCTGCCCCGTTGCCGTGAGAGGTCCTGAAGCATAAGACTCTAGGAAAAGCAGCAGGGACATTTCCTCTGTCACCGGCCCAAGCCAAAATATCCCTGACCTGCCTTTGACCTTTTCTGTGTTCTCCAGATCTAGCTGTACCCAGGAGAGCCAGCCCAGACGCTGCCAGCACTCCCAGGGACTCTTTAGACGTTGACCAGGTGAGAGGGGTTGAGGTCTGAAGGGGAGGCGGTATGGTCCAGCAGATCGGCGGCTCCGGAGTTCCCCTGCGTCTGGAAGGAAACAGTCTTCTTGTCCCCATGTCTGCAGGCAGTAGAGGAGGGAGAGCGCCTGAGAGGGATGGCAGGTGGCTGGACTGGAGCTTTTGGTGGGAGGGAAGAAAGGAAGGCTGGGTGAACTGGCTGGTTCTGGGCTGCTGAATGCCAGAGTGGCACTTGATGGGTTCGGGAAGGGGTGGACAGGAGGTGAAGAAGGCGGTCGCTGGTGGGTGGCCCTGATAGTTGTGGTAGAGGACCTCTCCCTTATCCTGTACCCCACCCCAGATACGTGTGCCTTTTCCTGGAATCGACATAGGGGCCTTCCCTTCCTCTCCCCCTACACTTGGCTCCTGGAGCAAGAATGGGGCCAGGAGTCAGACCTCAGGCCCAGCAGCTTGGGTTTCATTGGTGTGATTTCAGGAGCAGCATATATGCAGGAATCATAGTTTCTCAGGATTTGGAGGTGTCCATAACCCCCCTATTCTGGCATTCCCTCTGCAGCACCCTTGACCTGTGGCTGTCCACACACACACCTCCAGGAAGTTAAAGGTCACTCATTCTTGAGGCGGCCACTCCTGTCTCTGGATTGCTCTTAGATTGCTTGCCTGGGTGAAAATGCAGGGGCACCCCTTTGGCTTGCTCTCTTGGATGATTGCAGGCATGATTCCTCTCCTTCGGGCTAAGTTTCCTGAGTTCCTTCTTGGACCAGGCATCTGGTCTCCTCCACATCCTGCTCATCCAGGTGTGCGTGCACCTCCCTGTCAAGGATGTGCACGCCAGACTGATCCATGGAAAGCAGGTCTGGTGGTAGCAGTCAGGTGAGCCTTCCTAGCTTTGCCATGCATGGCCTTTAGGAGAGAGAGATTGCTATAAACAGAGGCAATCTGGAGAGACTTCCTGGAGGAGGCAGGATTTAGCCTCTGAGAATTTTAGAGCTAGGAGAGAGCATGGAGTCTTACCCCCTCTGTTGTACAGGATGAAGGTAAGGCCCAGGGAGAGGGTGACTTAACTCAGGGCTACATGACACGGCGAACTATAGGTAGGACTAGAAGCCAACTCCTAATTGCCTTGGGTACTGCATCCCCATATGTTTAGCTTGAAAAATAAAAAAGGACATTTTATTGTATTTTTTAGATCAGTAATACAGTCACATTGTCAGAAATAAAAACACAGAAAGTGATAAATATGTCAACTGTACTCCAATTTTTTAAACTTTTGTACACTCACAATTTCTGCATTTCACTGTATATAAGTTGTACCTAAAAATTTTTTTCCTGGCCCCCAGGTGATGATAATTTATAGCTAAGTTGAGAACCACTGTTTTGAGGTAGGGAGGACACTCACCTAGCATCCCTCCCTACTCCATTCCTCATATGAGCCTTCCATTAGCCAGCATCACAATGATTTCTTATACTACCTAAGATTGTAATTGTGCATATCCTATATTTTCACATAATACCCTATGTATGGCACCTTGCCGCCCATGTCCTGCACGTACCTTACCTGGATTTGAAAAAAGAAAGAAAATGATACATAATGTCTCACTCCCACCTTGTCCCTGTCTTTCTACTTCTCATGCCCATATACCTATCTTTATTAATTTCTTACATATCCTTCCAGAATTTCTTTATCTAACTACAAGCAAATACGATTACAGGTAGTTAGTTTTTCCATTCCTTTTTAGTACAAAGGTAGCATAATACCATATATTCATAGTATTGTGGCCAAGCTTTTTCACCCAAGGAAGTATTCTGGAATTCTCTGGAATTCTTACACTGTCCATAGGTAGGGAGCTTCCTGATGCCTTCTGACATCTGCATAGTGGCCTATGGAATGGATGTGATGTACTATATTTAGCCAGTTCCCTGCCAGTGCATATTTGGGTTGTTTTGGTTTTACAGTACTAGAATGAATAAGTCCCCACAGAAATCCTATTTAAAAAAAAAAATCCTATGAATAATTGTGCAAAGTGTCCCAGGTCCACAGAACCCGGCTGTCTTCCAGGTCCCAGTCCCTGGTTAATGAACAGCATTTTGCTGGGTCTTATGTGACCTCTCACTATCCTATCCACTACTAAGCAGTTTGAACTTGGAACATCAGAAGAATGCAAAATAATAACAATTTTTTTAGTTTAAAAATTTTTTAAATTAAAAAAAAGAATGCTCTTTTTGCAAAGCCTCTTGCTTTACTTTGGTAGCAGGCTGGAGGAGGGGGCAGGGAGGCCAGTGGAGCTGGGGGAGGGGAACAGATTTCACACACTGGGAGCCCCAGGGACCCGTGGAGCAGCCCTGGCGAGGTGGCAGGCACGGTCCGGCTGTCCCAGGAGAAAGTCCGGTCCTTCAGCGAGGCGAGGAGAAAGGCCACTCTTGGGCCCGTGCCCCGGCCTTAGGAAGCAGGAGCTGGGCTTTTGGTACCAACACTTGATCCCTCTTGAAAGCGTTGCTTTACTTTCATGGCATGGGTGTGAGAGGTGATGAGAAGACGCAGAGGTAGGCTTGACTGGGACTGCCCAGCTTAGAGGCGTTTTCCTTTGACTTCTAGGCTCTTTTTTTTTTTTTAAGATTTTATTTATTTATTCATAATAGACACACAGAGAGAGAGAGAAGCAGAGACACACGCAGAGGGAGAAGCAGGCTCCATGCAGGGAGCCTGATGTGGGACTTGATCCCGGGACCCCGGGGTCACACCCTCAGCCAAAGGCAGGCACTAAACCCCTGAGCCACCCAGGGATCCCTCTAGGCTCTTTTTGTAATGACGTTATAATACTTCAATGAAAAAAATAAAACATTTTAAAGCTATAAAGTGACTGGAAATCAGTCATCATGATTTTTTTGTCTTTAGTGAGCCCTCCTGTGTGTCCCCTGGTTCGTTAACAGGAGAGTCAGGGTGTCATGGGTGGGGCAGAGGCAGAGAGAAGAAGGCAGGCCCACCTGTGGGGCGTTCATAGCTCACGTGGAAAGGGGGTCTTCACCTACCAGTGAGTCGTAGATCCAGATGCAAAAGGACCTTTTCAACTTCTTTTAAAAAACTTCCATGGTGATAAAATACAACATAATGTAAAATAACCCCAGCTGCAGAATTGCTGGATCATATGGTCATTCTGGATTTTTTTTAAGAAAATTAAAAAATAAAAAAGGATTTTATTTATTCATGAGAGATACAGAGAGAGAGAGAGAGGCAGAGACACAGGCAGAGGGAGAAGCAGGCTCCATGCAGGGAGCCTGACGTGGGACTCGATCCCGGAACTCCAAGATCATGCTCTGGGCCGAAGGCAGGCGCCAAACCACTGAGCCACCCAGGGTCCCGGTCATTCTATTTTTTTATGTTTTGAGGAGTCACTCTGCAATTTTCCATGGTGGGCTACGCCGTCCTGCATTCCCACCAACAGTGCGCAGGGGCTCTGTTTTCTTTACATATTCATCCTCACTTTTTTCCGTAATATAATAGCCATCCTCACGGTGGTTTCAATTTTTGACCACTACCCCCTGAGAAATATATTTTATATCTAGTCTACAGTATATACACATGGACATACCTAATTGTGACTAAAGTGATAGTTTTGCACAGCAAATTACACTTGTTACATGGGATGTGCTCTAATGCTTTCTGTTCTGTACTATTGTGTAACGTTTAAAAATGCTAGTCCCGACCTACTGGATTGCTTCCATGATCCGCCAGTGGGTCACAGACTACAGTTTGAAAAATACTGGTGTAGAGCACTCCGCGGAGATTGTATGCGTTCCTAGAGGCCCAGGAGATCGTCTGTTCTCTCCCCTTCCCCCAGATACACACTCTGCTCTGATCCAGAGGGACCGCTCTCCTTCCTTTCTGTAAAGATGTTGAGAAAAAGAAATCCAGGAAGGAAGAGGGGGCAAAAGAAATCAGTCCATTATAGCAAATGATAGGGGAGCCCACATCCCACATCAGAGTGCTTGAGACCAAGGAGAGCCCCGGCTGGGGGTTCCGGTGCAGCATGTGGCCCCATCTTGTGCTGGGTTTCCCCTTCCTGCCCCCAGCACGGGTTTGGCCAGGCAGTTCCCGGGGTTCCCCCTGTGAGTGTGGTCCTGACCCTTCCTCTACCACACAGGAGGGAGAGAGCTTGTCCCTGGGAGGAAGGCATATCCCCGGCCTCCTCCTAATCTCACAGTCCAGGGTCTGGCTTCTTCAGCGCAGCTCTGCTCGAGGACGCACCCCGTCCAGCTGTGAGGGGTTCCCTTTCCTTCACTACACAGCCACAGGGCTCTGCTCATGGTCATCTCCTGGGCACACACAGAGCTGGAGCACCAACGGGGCAGGATTGGAGGCAGGAATAGCAGGCCAGGGTTCCTGGAGCCGAACGCCAGAGTCTGGGCCTCCCCCCTCCGAGGGACGCTTCCCACATCACTTGTCACTTATTTTCAGCAAACGGTCCAGCGGATGCTTCACAGTAGAGAAAGGTGGTGTGGAGGGATAGAAAGGAGAGACAGTGACTAAAGAAAAGGGAACTTGGGGGCACCTGGGTGGCTCAGTCGGTTGAGTGTCCACCTTCGGCTCAGGTCATGATCCCAGGGTCCTGGGATGGAGCCCCACAGCTGGCCCTCTGCTCAGCGAGGAGCCTGCTTCTCCCTCTCCTTCTCCCTGCCACTGTCCCCTCTTAGGCTCTCTCCCCACCCCCTCTCTGTCAAATAAATAAATAAATAAAAATAAAAGGAACTTGCATTTCAGAAACACTAGATTCAAACCCTGCCTTGGTCCAGGACCTTGGGGAATCAGATCACTTCACCCCTTGTCCCTCTGACCCTTCTCTGTAGGTTGGCAATAACCACAGGATGGTCCCTGTTTCTTTCTTTTAACGGTAATCTTTTTTTTCTATTGTGGGAAAATTCATAGAGGGAAGTCGCCATCTGAACCATCTTAGAGAGTACAGTTGGGTGACCTCTTAGCACCCTCAGTCTTGTACAGCCACCCCACCCAGCTGGGCCATTGCCCCGAAAGGAGACGTGGGCCCTGTTCACCTGGGGGGCGCTATACAACGTGCGTTCTTCTCTGGCTGCCTTCTTTTCATTTAGCACAGCGTGCAAGGTTCATCCAGGTTGCACGTTCCTTCTCGTGGCCAAATAATGTCCCAACCAATGGCTGCGCCACGTTTTGTGTATCGACTCAGCACCTGATGGGCCTTTTGGCCGCTGTGAATATTCGTGTGCAGGTTTCTGTTTGAACGTGTTTCCAGTCCGTTGCGCCTGTGCCTGGGAGCAGAATTGTTGGCTCGTTTGGAAATTCTGTGGTTAGCTTTTGGAGGAACTGCCCCTGCCTGCTTCCTTTTGACTTAGATGTAGGACACACTTCACCTGGTGCGACCAAAACAGTACTGACCGTTATCGGTGGTGGCACTTAGGAAGTGCCAGGTGCTCTTCTAAGCACGCTTCATCCACAGCGTCCCCTGAGACCGCTGGTACTGGTATTCCCGTTCTGCACAGGGGAACTGAGGCTGGAGCAGTTTTAAGTGATGTGTCCCGGGTGTGTACTGACTTCTCTGGCCGGGTGGGATCAAGGCCCAGGGGCAGAGTGAGGGTCATGGTGAAGCTCCCAGGGAGGGTGTCCTCACTGTTGGAACTCCGCACCTGGAGAGGATTGGCTTCCGTGGGGAGTGAGAGCTTTGTTTCTAGAGCTAGCTGTTGAGCAAGCCGTCAGGCCTTCTGGTCCATGCGATACCAGAAGTCACTGGCTGGCTCTGGGCGGGAGCCCAGGCACTGAAATGGCCCAGACGCCAGCACCTCACGGGCCTGAGAAGGTGAGGTCCTAGAGGGTGCGAGGAGGAATTCCTGGCCCCTGGTGGGCCCTGGGGACTGGGCCGCCCCCAGGCCGGGGTTCTCATTTCCATCTCTGTTTCTAGACCCCACCGCCAGAGGAGATGCTGGGGAGTCTGGCGCAGGCCCCGCAACTGGCGGGTCCGGCACAGGCCCCGCAGCTGGCGGAGACCCACAGTGTGGCTTTGGTACAGTCTGTGCCCGGGGTCCACCCGGTGCCGGTACACGCCTACTCCATCAAAGACCCGTCCTGTAGAGAGGTGAGCTTCCCTCCGCACCCGAGGCCCAGGTCCCACCCGGCAGGCGGGGCCAATTGGGGTGAGAATGCAGGCCTTTGTCAGCACTGACTCTGTTCTCTCCCTTGCTCCTGGGGGCCATGCTGCGAAGCCCCCCGTAAGCACAAGCCGCTCCGGGGTGGGCAGAGGCCCGCAGAGGCGGTGGTCAGCGCACAGCCAGTGCGTGTGATGGCTCAGGGGGCGCTGTGTGTGGAGAGAGACACGATCTGCATGGCGAGAGCGGGGGGCGGGGGTGAGGGAGGCCCACAGGCCCCTGCCACCCAGGTCCGCATCTCTGCCCACCGCCCCGGCACCCCCAAAGGCTGCTAACCTGGCCTCTGACTCCCTGCCGTGTAGGAGGTCTGCAACAAAGTCACTCCCCAGAAGAGGAAGTCCTGCCAAACCGAGTGCCCCAGGAAGGCCATCAAGATGGAGTCTGAGGAGGAGCGGGAGACTCGGTTGGCCCAGAGCTCCCCGGAGCAGCCCAGGCCCAGCACCTCCAAGGCGGTCTCGCCACCCCTGGATGGGCCCTCCAGCCCTGAAAGTCCCATCATGGGAAACGAGATCTTTCTGCCCAACAGCAACCACTCAACCGGCGACCCTGGGGAGGCAGGTAGGGAGGCGGGCAGGCGGCAGAGGCCAAAGCCAGCGTGCTGTCCTCCAAGGCCTGGGTGGGACCCAGGGAGGCCAAAGGCAACAGCGTCCCCCGTGTGTTGTGCCCTCAGCTGCCACCAGAGGGGAGAGGGGACGCCCACGGTTTACCAGGGGAGGGAGTGAGGATGGATACAAGTTACTGTGTGATGTACTGGGATTCCAGTGCGAGGAAGCCCGTGGTTCCGTAGCTCCTTCCCCCGACACACACAAGGGTGCGTCTGTTGGTGGGTACCTAGCACGTGCCCAGAGAGACCTCGGGGAAAGTCCACACCTCTCACTTCCCAAATTTGTCTGCAAAGGTCACCTGCCTCAAGCATGCCTCATTTGTCCTTCGATCTCTCTTAGGGACGCTGCCAGACAGGGAGTCCTGGGGCGTGAGCTGAGGTCAACTAATAGAATTCTGGAATGGTCGAGATAGTTCTTCCTAGATCTGCTTCACCCAGAGGCCCCCCCTTTGTTTTCATTCTAGGTCCCAGACTGAGCCCTGATCCTGCTTGCACACTGAGCCCTGACCGACATTCCTTGCTCACAATGCTATTGGTAATCAAAAGGTTTTGATTAACCAAATAAAGTATCTTCTAAGCCAAACATCTCAGCTCATGAGGCTGAGGGTTGGAACAAACCAACGTGCTTCTTTCTCTAGGATTGCAAAAGTTCCAAAGCAGGTGCTGCTTGCCAAGTTGCCTGTACCGGGAGCAAATTCCGATTTCAAGGCCAATAGCTAAATTGAGTATTCATGCACAGGGCACAGTGGGCAGTGACAGAAAGCCGTTTTGAATAAGCAGACCCTGATGGAAGGTCCCTCGCAAAGAGGGGTGTCAGGAACCAAGCTGAATAAACAGACCCAGACCAGCAGGCATGCCCAGGGAATATTCCCATCTCCCCCCGCTGCAGGGCACACGTCGTCTGCCCCGTCCACTGGCCCTTCAGGGATTCCCACAGAGTGTACCTGGGGCCCCACCCAGCGAGCGTCCCAGGAGGGCCTAATGCTGTGCCCCCTGCATTGTTTCAGAGGAACGCGTTGTGGTGATCAGCAGCTCGGAAGACTCAGACGCTGAAAACTCGGTGAGTGGTCCAGAAGTTCGGCCCCGGACTCCTGCCTCCCCCCACTCCAGGTCCCAGGGGACACAGCCACAGCAGGTGACTCTCAGACTTGCCCTGCACCTGGGGAGTTCTCCAGCGAGGCAGTGAATTCCCCGCTGTCCTGAGGACAGCCTCCAAATGCCAGCTGCGGGCCCGGACCACCCCAGCCGTCCCCCCGTACCAGGGCAGGAGCCTTCAGTAACCATATGTACTCCTCCGAAATGCTGATAGAACACTTCCTTCCAGCGCCCTGTCTCTTTGCTGGACTAGCCAATGCCTTTGTCTGGAGCTTCCTTACGCCTGGAGCTTCCTTACATGTTCTCTAACCTCTAAGTCCTCAGCAAGGAGGGTGGACGAGAACCCATACCCCAGCTAACCGCAGCCAGCGAGGGTCAGCGCAGGGGCCCGAGGGTGTGGGCAGCAGCGCACAGGGCCCAATTAGGCCAGTTTTCACTCCGTAAGAGAGGACTTTAAAACCACCCCACAGCGGAGCAAGCACCACTGTGGGCTGCCTCCCTTCTGTCCCTGGAGGTTGGTTAACGGAGGCTGGGGAAAAGGGGATCCGAACAGAGTGAAAGGTTGGACTGGGTGGCCTCTGAGGTCCCTTCCAGCTCTCAGTCTGAGGTTCTGTGTTGGAAAGTGCACGGAGTCCACGGAGACCGCGACACCACATGCCTCGCCTGCCCACCCCCTGCCAAGAGCACGAGGAGCCTTCCGCCTCTGCTGGGCCTCCCGCCTGCCCCATGGCGCATGCCGCCCCCCGGCTCGGTCTTCCCACCACCCCGCCGAGCAAGCCGCAGTCTCTGAGGCCGACTCTCCCAGCCAGCCTGCCCGCCACCAGGAGGAGGCTGCCGTCCGCCCCCGCCGCGGGACCGGCCCCCTGTCTCGTAGAGCGCAGAGAACCGCCCGTCTTGGGCGAATCTTCCGCCTGCCCCTCAAAGTGTACTGTAAACCCGTGTGTACTTACCCTGCCCCTGCAGTCCAGGCCACCACCCCTGCCGCCATAGGGCCTCCTGGCCATCCTTTCGGTGCCCAGGAGGGTCCCTGCCACTTCCAGAGGGCCATGGGCCATCGACGCCGGGCACGCGGAGCAGTGCGCTCCCTCGGCTGCTCCCTCCGGGGCTCCCCCAACGTAGCCCAGTGGCTCAACAACTTTTTTGCCCTTCCTTTCTCCTCTGTGGCTGCTCAGCTTAACACCTCTCTCAACAGTGGGAATGAAGGGGGACAGAGCGCCCCAGACTCTTAGGGCGGAAATCTCCCCCAGGGATTGACAGAGCCCCCGGGGAGAACCCCCCCAGCCACTACGTGGTCCAGGTCCCACTGAAAGGCTCTCCAATTGCCTTGCCACCCCCTTGCCCTCCCCTTGCCCTCCAGAGACGCCCCCCACCAGCCCAGCCGCCCTCAGGCCTCAGAGTCCCTGGCACCTCCCTCTGCTCTAGCTGCTGGCCACCATCCTTTTGGAGCTTTGTGGCCACTCACTCAGCCCCTGCTGCCCGGGCCGCCTCCACCCCACTGCGTGGCCCAGCCCGGCCCATGCACCAAAGACCCTGCACACCGTAGGCATTCAGTGCATTGTGGTCAAAGAGCAGACCGAGGAAGGAATGGCTGGATGGTTTCAGCAAGGACATGTAAGCCCTCTTCCCCCGAAAGGGCACGAGTGAGATTCAGGCTGCTGTTCCTCACATCCCCGGGCCTCTTTGCCCAAAAAATAGGAAGTATCTGTTACCCTTTGCACCTCCCACTGCCCCATCCTGCCACCCCAAGGCTTTCTACTGGGCCTTGCCAGGACCCCAGCCCATGAGGTCAGGACTGGCAGATATGGCTACTCAATAAATACTTGTTGAATGATTGCCCTTGCACACCCTTCTTCCACGACCATCACGTTCCCTGCTGGATTCAGCTCTTCTCTTGCAGGTGGCTTTGTGTCCTCCCTGCGCTGAAACTTGGTTCTCGGGGCGGGGGGGGGGGGGGGTTACCGTGTCCCCTCTTCTCCCACACCCTGTGAGCATCAGAGTGGGAGACGGGTCGGGTCTTCTGTGCCTCCTAGACTGGTCCCACCATCTGGTAAGGTCCCCTGTGCCTTGAGGGCAACCCCACTCACCCCAGACCATTTCATGCCTCCTCCTGCCTCCATCCCACAGAGGGAAGGCTCTGGCATTTGCCTCCCTCTCACAGAGGGAAGGCTCCAGCATTTGCCTCCCAGGTGGCTTCTTCTTAGCCAGGCCCAGCCTTCTTTCTGGGTGACCTCCACACCCAGCACCTTGTCTTCTCCGGGGTCTTCACCCCACTCTGCTGCAGCCAGCAGCCCCGTGGCCAACCCCTGCACATCCTACCACGAACTGGCCCATGGGGACCCTGACCACAGCATCCTGTCCCTTAGCTCTCAGGTACTTCGAAGGCCTCCTCCCTCCCCGCCCCAGTTCCCATAGCTCCAGCTGCTGCTCCTCATCCTCCTTCCTCCCAGGCCTCTGTTCTTTCCAGCCACAGCCCCTCTTCTCTTCCTAGTGTGCCCTTCCCTGTGGTCTCAGCCACACCCGTGGCTTCCATTGGTGCCTGGCGCTCGCTCCTGCTGCTAGACCAGTAGCCCGTGGCCCTCTGACGTCTGCCCTCAGATGCCCCATAGATCCCTCAGACTCATCTCTCTGCCTCTCCTCTGAGTACGTCGCAGCATCTGCCTGGCCGCGCAAACGGAGGCTCTCTGGCCACCCTGGAGGCGTCTCTTGATTGTTCCTCAGCACCGGTCAGATTTTCCGTCTTACCTTTCCACATTCTACATTCCTCTGAAACTCTGGGCATCTCTTTCCTCCCCGAAACCTAAAACAAAACTGACCTGGGGCGGAGGTAGAAAGAAGCTTGGAAAGGACACTGGGAGAAAGGATGGCCATGCCAGGGGTCTCACCGGCAATATCGAGGGGGCAGGTGTCAGCCTAAGCCTCAGCTGTCAGCAGGGAGGCACTAGGTGACGGCTGAGGTTCTTCAAGGGAGGAGGGAGAAAGAAGTTCATTTTAGGTCGTGATGAGTTAAAAAAAAATTAGAAGCAGCCACTCACCTCCGGAGGCCAGCTCTGGAGTGGGAGAGAGCCAGAGGGCCACTGCTTTTGTGTTGGTATTTTTCAGACTGTACATTTTAAAAATTAACCATTACTTTAAAATTAACCCAAACTTTTTAAAAACATAGTATTTTAAAAGGAAACAAATTAGGGGCCTTTGTGCATTTCTCACCCACCTCCTATGCCCCCTGCCGCCCCTGGAGCTCCTAGAGTACCTGCAGGAACTTGACTGGGGAGCAGGGCAACCCTTGCAAGGTGTTCCAGGCTTCCGCACACCCCTGCCCCAGCCACCACCACCCCACCGCACCCCACCATGGCCTCCATCCCACCTTCCAGGTGTGAAAGTTGGCCTACTACTTAAAGAGCATGTTTTCCAAGCATATCAGGTGCGTAGGGACCCCCACCCCAGGCTGTAGCTGAGTCTGTTGCTGGAATCTGGGGGCTCTGGCACAAGCCTGGCAAGATGGGCAAGGCTCAGGGAGAGACTGCACAGGAAGAGTGATCCGTGAGTGGGAGAAGGCAGCGGAGGGGTAAGACCCAGGACTGTGGGTGAGGACGAGGCCTGAAAACGAGGCAGGGCAGGCGGGGGGAAGGGGTGGTCAGCGGTGCCTCTGCCATAGGCTCTGTGTTAGGGCCCAAGGCAGGAAAAAATAGATGCTCTCACCTATTCTTGTGACAGATGACTAGCCTCAGTGTCTGGCAGTAGCAGGACCAAGTGGACACAGGAGGGGGCAGTCTGTGGCTGAAGTGGCAGTGGTGGCCAGCCGTAGAAGGGAGGCCCGTGGGCGATGGCCGATCCATGAGAGGGGCCGTGACGCTGGGGAGTGTGGGTGTCAGGAAAAGAAGCAGGTGCTCGTCTGAGAAGCTGGGCGCAGTGGGCAGAGGGCAGCGGGAGTCACAGGCTAGCTGACAGGATGGTCCAGTTTGCAGATACCTGTGAAGTGGTTCGGGCCTTCCAGACTTTGCAAGAGCTGGGAGAGCTGGGGCTTTGTGTCTGCAAAAACGAGAAATGTGTGTGTCTTGCCAAACTGATCCCAGCTGTCATTTAAGCTTGGGTGCTAAGAAAATTCCTCAGAAACCTGGGGACTCTTGATAAGAATTAATGGTGATACTGCATAGACGACACCGGGTGACCGGATGCTGAAGAGTCGGGCTTCTGTCTAAGTGGCTGCTGACCACTCGGACAGTAGTTCCCAACCCCGGCTGCACACGGGAGTCTTTTTTTGGGGGGGTGGTTACGGGGGGATCGGTTATCAATGCCAGATTCCTGGCTCCCACCCCCAGAGATCGTAATTGAATTGGTCTGGGGTACAGCCCGGGCATCTGGATTTGTTGAAGCTGCTAATGCACAGCCAGAAAGGAGAGAACCACTGAATTGGGGGATTCGGTGGCACGTCTGTGATTTGTGTGTGTTATCAGCCTTGAATGGAGGTGACCCGTATGTACTGGGATGTGATCCAGCAGGGGAGAGGGGGACACTGGATCTTCCCAAAGAAACCTCCTAGGCCCGTGGAAGGTGATTAAAATGCCAGCTGCTTCCTGTGGGTAGGCTTGGTATGGCGGGTAGGCCTGCTGTGTGGGTTCGGAATGCAGTTGCCCGACTGAGTTAATCTGTGTGGAAGACCAGTGAACTGTGGCTCACCAGCCAGGCTGCATGTGTATCCTAGTGCCGTGTGTATCCTGAAAAACGCCTGGGCCCCCTGTGGCAGTCAAAGAAACACAGTCCATTACAAGTATAATAAAGAAATGAAGCCTAGTATTTACTTGCATCTTTCAAAGAATATTAAAGGGGATTTGACTCCCAGCTTCCAGAAGTACATCCTCAAGTCCTCTTCCTCTTTCCTTACATTCCCACCACGCCTGCCCGCTTGCTTGTTCCTTGGAGCTTCCCACTTCTCACTTTCCAGGTCATGCATGTGGACTCTCATCTTCCCCCACTCTGTTTCCTCTCCCGCTGTTCCTCTTCCCTCCCCAGCAGATCTCAAGCGTTTTGCAAGAAAAGGCCTTTTCCTGGCTTGGGTCCGGGTCTCTCCTACTATCCCTCTACGCTCCCCACCCGCACACTCAGTCACCCGGACGGTGGACGGAAGCCCAGCAGTGGCGCCCCTTCTGTGAGCAGAGGGGGGCAGGAAGACATCCTGCATCTTGTGTTGATTGCTGGGTCTTCCGAAGTCTCTTCTAAGCGTGCCAGTACTTCCTGGCCATGTTGCTGGGATTTAGGGCCGGGGAGGGGGGGCTCACGTGTATGGCCGGCTGGAGTTCAGTGGAAGGCGTTCTGGCAAGATCATCCCCTTGCACTAGCTGCACTCGACAGAAGTCCCGAGAGTGAAGAGGAATCTGAGAGGAAGAAGAGTCAGGGCTGGAGGTTCCAGCCTTCCCGCCAGGGACGAGCTCAGCAGAAGGGAGGCTGTCCTTTTATGAAGGGAGCCAGCATGGTCTTCAGTACGTGACAAGAAAGACATGTTGTGCCACTATAAAAGAGAAAATGACCCCAGGACAACGGGAGGCCCTAAAAATGAGATTCTGCTGGCCATCATAAATGACCCCGGTATGAGGATGGAGCTAGCCCAAGGAAGCTGCGGTGCTGCTCTCCAGGGAGTTCAGATCTTGGAAGAGGATATCCAAAGAGCTGACTATGGCTTTAAAGCCCGAGAGGATATTCCAGAAGGAAGGAGACTGGTGGAAGGACTCCGGGCCACCGCATGTGCATTTGCTGTTATATTAGGATCAAAAATAGGAAGGACGAAGAAAAAGCTGGCAGTGTGCCATGTCAGTGGGTGACCAAGAGGCCTTGGGAAAAGGGACAGTTATTTGGCTCTGGGGAGGACACAGCAAGAGGAGTCCAGCTCTTTCCACCAGCCCAAGTGCAAGAGCAAGGTCTGGAAGGCTGAAGATTAAAAAAAAACAAAAACAAAACTTGGATTTTTCCTTCCGGGGTAGGGGAAGAAAGTGGTGTCTCTGGACCATTAGCCAGCAACTTTGAGGAAGACACCTGCAGAGGCTCCTTACAGGACGGAAGGGAGCTGGGGCCATGAGATGACTCAGAGCAAGCCAGGCAAAATCCACATTTGATGCATGGCCAAATCAGGGATTGAGATATGCAGGGGCCTTATGTGTGGAACCCCCTAACTCTCGGCTTCTCTCTCTCTCTTTTTTTTTTAAGATTTTATTTATTTATTCATGAGAGACAGAGAGAGAGAGAGGCAGAGACACAGGCAGAGGGAGAAGCAGGCTCCATGCAGGAAGCCTGACGTGGGACTCGATCCCGGGTCTCCAGGATCACGTCTCGGGCTTTAAGCAAGACCCACTGTAGATGGATTCATAGTCTTTGTCAGTGACTGGGAGGACCTGGTGAGCCTGGGGTAGGGCCATGGAAAGCAAACAGTAAAACTCAGCCACTCCTAGGAAAATCCAGCACATTTTACCTGTGCCGAGTAATGGCTTGGCTCTTGGCTGACATTTTGTTAAAATGTTTCACCTGGGGAGTAAAATTAGGGCTAGAGCCATGCCACCCGCGCCGCCCCCCCCCCCCCGCCCCCGAGCCAGGGACATTAGCCAGAAGCCAGCATTAATCCTGGGAGGCTTCAGGTAGCCGCGGGGCAGTCCACCCAGCATCACCCTTCTAGAGGCTGTCTGGAGGCAGGAAGACCCGAGGCCTGCTCTGGGCTGTGCCAGCAGTACCCCCCCCACCCCCCCCACCCCGTGACATCGGCCTTGTCCTTTCCTCTTGGTCTCTGGCTCCACCCGCAGGTGGCATTCCCAGGACATCCTGAGATCCTGAGCAGGCCACCGAAGACACTTGTGGGTTTGGCAGCTGTGCAGATGAAGGGAGCTGCAGCCCTGGAGCCTTCCCCCAGCCCCGAGTCTCTCGGTGTCCCTGCCTTGAGCTGGAGGGAACAGGGCCTCGGGCGCCCCGGTAGGGGAGCCCTGGGCCTGAGGCTTCCCTGAGCAGCCCCAAGGCCTCTCCCCACTGCTCTCGCTGCCCGGCCCTGCGGCCTCAGATGGGGTGCTCCTGAGGCTGAGCGGGCCCCCCCACCCAGCCTCTGTGTAGGGCGCTGGGGCCTGGGCTGGCCACGGGGACGAAAGCCAGGCTCCAGGCCCCTTCCCGAGGAAGTTCTGGGGTTTGAGCTGAGCCTCCTTCCTCCTGTCCCAAGCTCATGAGTTTCTTCTGAGTCTGTTCAGAGAGAAGGGAGCAGCAGACCCTCCGGCCGTGCCCCCCACAGCACTGGCCCCTTCCCTGAGCGTCCACACCCACACCGTGCACTCACATACACTCACAGGCCCACACACCTGTCAACACACGTTCACAAATTGACACCCAATGCATGCACACACACGTTTGACATTTGCCCTCGTTCCCTTGCTCGTGCTTTCACACACACTCCCCCGCGTGATCTCAGTCTCTCACTCCTGCTCACTACTGTGTGGTTCACACATGGCCTCACGTGCACACACACGTTGATGTGCATTCTTGCGACTCATCCTGCGTGCGCACTCAGACATACACCTCCCTCTTCCCGACACCCTGCCCTCCCTCGTGTGCATGCCGGTGCCACCGACCACACCAGCTCACTCGTGTCCCCACATTCACACCATGCAGTCACGCACACACAGGCTCATCACGGGCACAGGCTCACATTGCCAGCATGCACACTCGCCCTCCGGACCCCTGACCTGTTGGTTTTTCTGTGTTGCAGTCCTCCCGAGAGCTGGACGACAGCAGCAGCGAGTCCAGTGACCTCCAGCTGGAGGGCCCTAGCTCCCTCAGGGTCCTGGACAACAGCCTCGCCGGCCCCCAAGCAGAAGACAGGCCCCTGGTTTTCTTTGACCTCAAGATTGACAGTGAAAGTGGGTTCTCCAGTGGCTACCCCCACCCCGCTCTAAGCTTAGTCTCTGAGTCCCGGAAATAGGTGCAGGCAGAGCTATGTTCTGGGCCCAGGAGAGCCTAGAGCTCTGGCCAGTGACAGCAGCCAGAAAGCAGGCAGCACGTGGCGTCCCCCCAGGACCCCAGGTGTCCCTCTTGGCTGATGGAATAAGGACTCCTGCCTTGACCAGCGCCTGAAAGCATGAGGCAGGTGCATCCTTGAGCTCACCTCTGACCAGCGCTTCTCTGAGCCCTGGCAGCGCACTTCTAGACAACCACCGTGTGGGAAGTCCCCGCTCTGAGGCCGGCAGTCCAAGCAAGGCCCTGGGCCTCGAGGGCGGGGTTCTGGGTAGAGGCTCATGCCACCACTGGGCTACGCAGGGAGGCTGGAGGCCGCGGTCGTGGAGGAAGATGAGCCCTCCTCCCAGGAGCCCCTCACCACCCCACAGGCCTTACCTGCAGTACCCTTTGTCGAACCAGAAGGTCCCAGCCTGCCCTGTGGCACAGACCCAGCCTGGGGCCGGCCCAGCCAGGCAGAAATAGCGGTGCCCCCCGAGGATGGGGGAGTCGTTTGCAGACCTCGCAGGGCAGCTCTGAGCCACGTTCTGAAGGGAGTAGGTCGCACAGGTGGGCCGCGTGTCCCAGGGCTCTGAGCAGGCTGGGAGTCTCGGCTCAGCGACCGATGGTCCGGACTGGAGGCTGAGGCAGGGAGCGGAGGATGTGGTGGAGACACAGAAGGCTCCCCAGTGTAGGCGGGTGAGGCTAACAGAAGGCGGGCAGGAGGGACCCAGACCTAACCTGCTTGGCAAACTCTGGGCAGGTGGTGGGGGCAGGGGGGAGCTGGACTCCCAGCAGGTGAGTAGGGCATGTTTGCAGAGTGGCCAGCCCTCCCCCTCCTGACCCCTGGCCCCACCGCAGCCAGCGTAGAGCCGCATTTGGAGGTGATGCTGGGTTCCTGCCGGCAGGCCCCAAGGTGGGGTCTCCGTGTGGGGGGACAGCTGCCCTAGTGGTCCCGCTGCCCCCGCCCTGGGGCTCACAGGCCCCTGGGGCCTCACCCTGCCCTTCTCTCCTGCCCAGCCCAGAAGATTAGCCAGCTGGCGGCTGTAAACCGGGAGAGTGAGTTCCGCGTGCTCATCCAGCCCCAGGCCTACTCCAGCATGTTCTCCAAGGCCGTCTCCCTGGAGGTGGGGCTGCAGCACTTCCTTGGCTTCCTGGGCTCCATGCGCCGCCCCGTCCTGGCCTGCTCCAAACTGTGGGGGCCCAGCCTCCCGATTTTCTTCCAGGCCCTGGAAGACATGAACAGGCTTTGGGGGTTCCAGGAGGCCATCTCGGGCTTCCTGGCTGTGCTGCCCCTCGTCCGGGAGCGGGTTCCCCAGGCCAGCAGCTTCAGACTCGGGAGTCTGGCCAAGACCTACCTGGCAAGAAACGTGAACGAACGCAGTGCCCTGGCCACCGTCCTGGCCCTGCGAGACCTGTGCCGGCTCCTCGAGATCTCCCCGGGCCCTCGGCTAGCCCAGCACGTCTACTCCTTCAGCAGCCTGCAGTGCTTTGCGTCCCTGCAGCCCCTGGTGCAGGAGGCCGCCCTGGTCCAGGCCCAGGCCCGCCTCCTGGCCCTGCACAATGTGAGCTTCACCGAGCTGCTGGCCGCGCACCGCCGTGACCCACAGCAGGGCTTGAAGAAGTACAGCCGCTACCTGGGCCCGCAGACCAGCATGTCACCCCCCAGCCAGCGAGCTGTCAGCCTGCAGGCCCTGAGCACCTACTTCAAAGGCCGGTCGGAGGGGGCCGTCTCCGCTCAGGCACAAGGCCTCTCCACCCTTCTCACTGGCCACAGCTTTGCAAAGAGGGCATGCCAGCAGAGCTGAGAGGAAGCCAAGACTGGCTTGGGATCTCTAGGTACAGAGAGGGATGGGGTCCCTGAGCCAGCCGCCTGCCCGACCCATCACAGCATTCCCGTGTCCTAATCCCTAGCACTCAGTCGTCTTTTGGTCCAGAATCAGCTCTCTGGGACCAAATTCCCCTTCTCTAAAAACCCCACAGAGAAGGTTCTAAGTCTGAGTTCTAACCACCCAGGGCCACCAGATCCCCTTTCAGGCTTTGGGGGCACCAGTAGGTTGGTTTCCCCTGAGCCCTGGCCCCTCTTGTCAAGGAGCCAAAACCAGGGCGTAAAGAAGGCCTGGCCTCCGGGCCGAGTGGCCCCCCCCACCCCCAACTTGCCACTTCCATGAGTGTCCCTGCAGCCCCTCCCTGACCCCCAGTCACTGCAGTAGGGGACCTGCTGGTAGTCCCCGCAGACAGTGCCCGCAACACCCACGGGTACCCCAAGTGCCTTTCAAACCAAACTGCCCTCTTGAGTTTGGTTCTCCCACCGTCTGCCTGTCTGAAGGCCAGCTCTCTGTTCACTTCTTTGGGAACAAAATGTATTTTTGTCCCCAGAGGGCCTCATATCTGCAGAGGCAGAAGCTGCTGCTCCATGCCTACCCCTCCTTCCAAAGTATGACCCTTCCGAGCTTGCTTCTTTCCTGCTGGCCACGCAGCCACCTCCTCTTAGTTAGGCTTTGCTCCTTGGTCCTCAGGCCGCCAGCCCCTGTCTGCATGGCTTTTGCCCTCTGCATTGCCCACATCCGCCACACCGAGGAGTGTCCTCCTACCCAGCGCTGCTTGCCACATACACCAGGGACTTGCAGTGTTGGCATCCCCCGAGAGCCCTCCCCCGGCCCTCTGGAATCAGCATCTCTGAGGTGGACCCAGCCAGCTGTTTAAGCACATCCTCCAAATGATTCTGATGCCTGCTAAGACTCAGAGCCAGTGTTCGGTTAGACTGCTCCCCGAAAGAGGAGCAGGGCGCTGTAGCAGAGCCCGTCCTAGTCCGGACAGGGAGTGTGACCTAGGAAAAGACCCCTTCCCGAGCTCCAGCATACCCACCTGATAAATGGGCCAGTCGGTCCAGCTGGTCTCTGAGTTCCCGTCCAGCTCTGCCATTCTGGGTTTAGACATGGACGATGGCCACCGAGGCAGTGGACAAGGGCTTAAACCTAGCTCTCAGCCCTAAGCCAAGGTCCCCAGCGTTGTGGTCGTACCAGAGATCAGCAGCAGAACACCGGCAGGTCAGGGCCTTCCCTCTGACTAGCAGAACCACTGGCCCTGCCCTGCTACCCAATGTTCCCTCTTCCTTGGCTCCTGCCACCAGGACACAGCCCAGACCTCCAGCTTCCAGAGCCTGAGCTTTCACAGGGGGGAGGTCTGCGTGCCCACGCCTCAGCCCCCATTCATCGAGGTGCCCTGGAGATTCCCTAAGGGATTACCTAGGAACTGGCTGCCACAGTGGGAGCACTGGTCCTACGGTGAACCCCAATGCGTTTGACCGCAGGTTTTCTAACAAAGGGCTGTTGTGCCTCTCTCCAGTTATGCAGCCTTTAATAAAGATGCAAATGTTGGGGGATCCCTGGGTGGCTCAGTGATTGAGCATCTGCCTTCGGCTCAGGGCAGGATCCCAGGTCCAGGGATTGAGAACCATGTCGGGCTCCCGGCATGGAGCCTGCTTCTCCCTCTGCCTGTGTCTCCCTCTCTGTGTGTGTGTGTGTCTTTCATGAATAAATAAATAAACTCTTAAAAAAAAAAAAAGATGTGAATGTTCAAAGTCTGATGCACTGATCAAGCGCTGCTCAGCCCACCCCAGGAGCCACTGGGCAGCCTCTTGCCCCGGGGAAGAGGGTAGGACCCTGGATGTGGGAGAGCTGCCCTTTGTGAAATCCTTTCAGGACCTAGGAGAGCTGAGACCCCATGTTGCTCAGTGCTGAGGGCCTCACAGATGTGAACTCCCCCATTCCAAAGGGGGAGACCCAGGGTGGGCCTGCGGGGGATCATCTCCCAAAAGAAGAGGCAAATGGAGGAGGAGGAAAAGAAGCACCAGTTTCAAGAATTGCCCCCTAGAGGGAGTCAGGAGCCAGAGACCAGAGTCTAACAACTTCCCCCTCAGTCCCTGCAGGGTAATCGTGCACCCCCTGTCTGTGTCCCCAGAGTCCCAGGTGGGAAAACCCCCCAAAAGGGGGAGGGGAGCCCAGAACATGAGCAATGTGTAATCAATGTGTGTCCAGGGTGTCACAGGTGGAATCCACAGGAGTACATGCAGGGATTCCCACAGCACAGGCAGTGTGGGAACTGGCCCTCCCCCAGGCCTGGGTGAGCGGCCCCGTAATTGTCATTTGATCAGTGCCACCACCCTTAACGGCATCTCCCTGCCCCCAGATGCCCAAGTTCCAGTCCTGGAGTTTTAGTCCCCAAGAGCAAATCCGGAGGCGTCCCCTGTGCCTCCCGTTTGAACGCTAGGTCAGCTCACCATGAACTTGCTGGGATAGAGGTCAGGGCACTGAGTTTTGTCCTCGCTCCACCAGCTCCACCCATCTGGTGCGTCAAGCTCCCCGGTGCTTGGGCCCCAGCACTGTCAGATGGGATCATAGGGATCACTTTTACATCACAGGCCTTTGCATGAACCAATGAGAGAATGTGGAAATAGCTTTTGAATATGTGAAGAACCACACAAACATAAGATCTTATTTTACAGACAACGAAGATGACAGTTTTATTGCTTCATGAGTTATAAAAAATTAATAGATGTTAGATCTTAGCAAAAAAAAAAATATGTATATATATACACGCATGGGGTTGGCTTCAGGGAATTAAAAAAAAAAAAACAGGATCTGGAATGGAGCAGGCGATTGCAGGGGGTCCGAGGGAATCAGGGAGGAGAGCAGGGGCTTCTGCCCTGGAGTGGCTGAGAAGCCAGTGGTGCTGTGTCCCCAACACACCCCAATGAGGGGTGTCAGCCTCGCATACCTGAAGTAGAGAGCAGCCTTCCAGGGACCGCTCGGCTCAGCGGCAGCCAGCCCGGCCTGCTCCAGGGCCTCCTGAGGCCCAGGCACTCACACCCCAGGAACCTGGCTCAGAAATCTGCTTTAACTCCAACCTTACTCTTCCTTCTACCGGCCCAACCCCAGCTGCTGCCTGGTACCTGTGTCCCTCCCCCCATCCCCTCCCCCCACCCCCTGCCTGCCCCCCTTCATCCTTACTCCCACCCATTCTCGCTCCAACCCCTACTCCCAACCCCGCTCCAACCCCTACTCCCAACCCCGACAATTGTCCCTCTCTGAGTTTACCCTTCACCCTCCACCTGCCAGCCCCTCCTTGGCTGGATCCTCTGACCTCAGGTTGTCCCCACCCCACACCCCAGGTATCCCCAGCCCTGTACCTAGAGTATGGGAAAGGGGGGGTCCTTTCTCACCTTTCTTCAGCCCTCACAATTGAAGAACCCCACAGTTAATGGCACCAAGTGGCAGGCCAAAGGCAGCAGCAGGTCGCGACCCCAGACCCCGGACCCCCAAGGAGCTGAGCCACAGCTACTCCCAGGCTCAGCCAGCAGGGGACGCAGGCCCGGCGGGGCCAGTGGGGGGTAGGGGTGCATGGGGCTGGGGCTCGGGGGCGCCCGGTGCTTCCCTAGGCTCGGGGCTCAGAGCGGGTGGCACAGGAGGCACTTTGGGTAGAGCTTGGGGGGGGAGCGGGTAGGATCGTTCATGGGGTTGTGCTGAGTTTAATATGTCCTAGAAAAACATAGAGTCAGCGTATCAAAACTGTGATTTCCGAACATCGCTGCTCAGAATGACGCTAAAGTGGGATTATTTGAAGGTCTGATTCAAGGACAAATATTAGGTAACCACAAGCTCGGGAGGGAGGCAGGTATTGCAAAACTTGTGACTTCATTTGGAGAAATCCTGGGCTACCTGCCAGGGGAATTAGGGTAACGGTCATGGATGAGGGTTAGAGCTAAGGTCCGGGCCCAGGTTAGAGCCAAGGGTAAGGATAGGGCAGGGTCAGAAGGGTTAGAAGGTGGCCTAAGGGGGCAGCCCGGGGGGGGGGGGGGGCGCTCGGCGGTTTAGCTACGCCTTTGGCCCAGGGCGTGACCCCGGGGTCCCGGGATCGAGTCCCATGTCAGGCTCCCTGCATGGAGCCTGCTTCTCCCTCTGCCTGTGTCTCTGCCTCTCTCTCTGTGTCTCTCATGAATAAATTAATAAAATTTTTTTTTTTTTTAAAGGAAGGTGGCCTAAGGCCTTAGGTTAGGATTTGGAGCTATATGAAATTTAGGGGCACATTGGGCGATGAAGATTAGCAATGGAGTTAGGAAGCAGACGAAAGGAATTTGTCACCTTTTTTTTGAAAAAAAGATTTTATTTATTGATGAGAGACACAACGAGAGAGAGAGAGAGAGAGAGAGAGAGAGAGAGAGAGAGGCAGAGACACAGGCAGAGGGAGAAGCAGGCTCCATGCAGGGAGCCCGATGAGGGACCCTATCCCAGGACCCCAGGTTCATGACCTGAGTCAAAGGCAGGTGCTCAACCACTGAGCCACCCAGGTGTCCTGAATTTGTCACTCTTGAGGCTACGGATAGGTCGCTTTAGCAGCTTCAGAGTCCATGAAGCTGTGGACAGAGGGGCAGGAGCTTCTGGGAACCCCCTCCTATGGGCCCTGGGAGTGGCCTGCCCCCTCCGCAGCATCCTCTTCGATGCCCCAGCAATCCGCTTCCACCGGAGCTCGGAGCAGCTCGCTGCACCCCAGCCGAGGATCAGTCGGGAGCCCGAGCCTCCCCCTGGAGCCTGGGAGTACTGCCCCCAGCGGCATGACCCGAAGGAATCGTGCACCCCATTTAGTCCCGGGAACCTTCCCAGCCCCCTCTCACCCTCTCTCTACAGCTGAACGCGGGGTGCCGGTGCGGGTGGGGGCGGGAAGGCCGCGCACCTTACTCAAGGTCATTAAACTTGTATGTCACAGAGTTGGAGTTTGCCCAACGGGGCGCCTGTGTCTAGACTGGAGCCATCTGTGACCCACAGCTGGCAGGTGCACCGCCTTGGCGCCACGGGCGGGCGGGGGCGGGGGGGGGGGACACTCCCCGCCCTCCCCTTCCTGTTCCCTCCTGATCCTTCGGTCTCACAAGTGTGAAATTCAAGCTTTAAAAAGCTAACATCCCAACACTCTGGGCCCAGCTGTGCTTCTCAAAACTTTTATTTTGCCCCCATAAGAAGCCTCTTTAGACCTATTTTTACCTAGTCATGCGCCCCCCCCCATGAAACTTTAATACTATAGATACCCTATCTATTACTTAGGATGTTCTACATACAAAATCCTATCATCTGCAAGTAGAGATCCCTTTCCTTTTGCCTTACACACACGTACCATATGTCTGTGTGTGTGCTGTGGTCCTTTCTGGGGTCAGAAACCACTGAAATATCTAAGGTGGTTAGTGGGACCCCTTGAACCAATTTGCATCCTCTGTGGCATAATCTTGATCCGTTGAGAATGCGTGATTTAGGGGAAGTCCCCATCCCCAGTGACACTGCAAGTAAGAAGTGTCTTGGGGCTTATTAAGCCCTTCATGTGGTTGACTTGCTGGTGGGAATGAGGTGGAAGAGGCTGCAGGGAGGCGGTAGGGAGGGAAGGAGAGCAGAAGTCTGCAAGGAAGCACTCTCCCAGAGTAGCCTTGGTGCTGGGGTGAGCCTGGTACCTGGGCCTGGGGCTTGGGGCCAGAGGGGGACAGGCCCATCATTCATTGTTGTATCAAGATCCAGGTGTCAGCTCCAGACCCTTCAGATCTGAGTAAAGCAGATGCCTGTGGTGATTCTTTAGAGAGAAGGGTCTAGATCTTCAACTGAGACACCCCTTCCCAAATAAACCAAAACAGAAAGTGTGGAAGTCTCTACCCACCCTTACAAAATGCATTTGCTGACAGAGGGAGGGAGAATTCTTTCATTCTTGGCTCCAGCAAACTCCTTAAACTCAGCCCTGAGGAATTCCTTAAAGACCAGCTGCCTGGACTGTGCTAAACTCAGTTTATAAATATCAGGATTCCAAACCCGACAGCCAAGCAGATTACAAAAGCTGGCTAACTAACCACAGACATTTTCCGCAAAGCCGGCCGGACAAGTGTGAGAGGACCTAAGTGTGAAATCCGGTGTCACCTGTCTGATCCTCTGAAACTGTTCCTTGACCAGCTGGAGCGTGAGGGCCTGGGAACAGAATTTGCCTTCAGAGACTCTCTCTGGGAGTTCTAGGAGTTCTTTGGCCCAACGGTGCTGGCTGACGCTGGAGAGTTCTCAGTAGATGAGAGCAGCCCCGGAGCAGAGGACAGCGGGCTAGGCCCGAGGTAGGGTCCCTGAGTCTGCAGGTGGTTAGGACGGGGGCTCTGGAGACCTTAGACAAGATCCTTCGCCTCCCTCCGTGGCCTCATATGCAAATTGGGGGTGATAATACAGCCTTCAGAAATGAGGAGGACAAACGCAGTGACATACAGAAAGCACGAAACTCTGTGAATTGGCAACACTGAGTAAAAAGTAACTCTATACCTCCAGCACCCTAGAGAAGGCACTGTGCTGACCCCACAAGGCCCTGTGGGCTTCTTCCTTCCATTGCCCTGCCCTCTCCCTCCTTCCTCCTCCTCCTTCTTCCCTGCTCCCTCCTCCCTTCCTCCACCCCTATCCTGTCTGCTCCCTCTCCTTCACTTTCCTCCTCTCTCTCTCTCTCTTTCTCTCTTTCTCCCTCCCCCTCCTGACTCCAGTCCATTTAAG